GGGACAATTCAAGGATGCCAAGAAGAACGGAAAAGGCACGTTTTACTATGCCAATGGTAAAGTTAAAACAGGACAATGGTCAAATGATACCTTCATGGGATGATTTTATTTCTATTCTTTTATCACGTAAGATGCATCTCTCAGCCAACCTTATTTATTTGTGTTTAGAATGAACAAAGTAAGTAAAAATCAAACGAGAATGATAAATCAGTTTTATTGTGCATATAGAATTATCAATAAATCCAAAAATAATGTTGAAAATTCTAATGAGCTAGATAGTAAAATAACAAGTATTATCATCATGCATCTAGCAGTTTTTAACAAGCTCTAGAAAGTAGTTGCATTCGAAAACAGAAGAAATGCGAAAAAGGTTTGAGCGCATGTCTGCCAAAAGAAAGAAGTCTGGTTAATGAGAGTGCGAATATAGAATGGAATGGAGGGGTCTAGACAAGAGTAACTCAAAAGGAATTTCCTAGCTCGAACTCAGTATTATTAAGCGCATTCCACACCCACACGTACAATCACCAGCAGCTACCTATACCAACACACTCCTACTCGTGAAAGTCAATTTGAAGTATTAACAACTCTTTTTATCACAAAAGAAAAGGACGAAAAGTAACGAGTAACATTGGGTTGAATGAACGTATTTTATTTACTCTTTTTCTCTTTAAATTACTTTGTTATAATTTGGTTTAGAAATCAGAAGAAAAAGCTTTTGGTTTAGGAAGTCGTCTAATTTTTTTTTCTTCAAATGTCAATTATTATGTTAACTTTAAAGAATAAAAAACTAATAACATTCTACAATTTAGTACTCCAATTTCGTTCAGAAAAATGCTCCATCGTTCAAGATTCGTGATAAAATATCAGTAGACGAGTATTTATTTTTAACATGATTGTTCTTGTGACTATATGCAAATGTTGTGGATAAAAAATGTGGAGTCTATTGGTCACATCCATCAAATTGTCTTTGAACCCTAAACCATATCACATAGCACTATCAAAATCTATAGATTGGAATGCTTCATTTTATCATGAAGATGCAATATGAGTTGTTGGAATTCTTTTAGTTTTCTATTTTTTACGCTAGAATAATAGTTAGTGTTTTAAGGACAACAGTTATGCTATTTTCTAGTAGAGACAATTTTTTAACTGCAGACTATTGATCGACACTTAATAAAAACTCTAAAGAAAACAGAGAGAACAAAAGTGACTCTTTGAATATAGACAATCCATCATATGTATCATTATGGTAAACACACCAAGTTATGATGTTTTCCTGTCGTGGCTGCTTGAAGAATAGATCAAAGTGAAAAAAATGTATTCAATCTCTACTGTTTATGATTAATTAATACAAATCATATCGTACGTAGTATAATAAGTAAGAAAGATTAATAGAAGAAAGATAGCAAGTTCAACGAGTTAATCTATTCATTGTTTTTTTATTCAACGTGAGTGATAAAAGAGTATAATCAGTCAGATAGTTTTTTCAAATGAACATAAGTATTTTTATTCTAATTTGTTTTTCATTCAAATACTTCGGTCAATAGAAAACAAGATTTGATATTCACTAGATTTTTAAAATTCTTTTGATAAGATTTTATTCAATATTATATTTAAAATGGTTCTTTAAAAAAATCGTTTACCATTACTACTATATATCTTGAACGGTAAATTAATAAAAGCACGGAAGCCTATGAGAATAATTTGACCCTCAAAATATGTAGCTGGCGATTGGTGGGATTTCGTTCATCTCATATTCAATATTTGGAATTTTCTTCAAGTATTATTCCACAATAACAGTAGCTAACCTGTATGTTTAATTAAGGAAATAGTTCAACATATGTTACAAATGTTCTAATAATAAAACGATATTGACAAATTATAGTATTGTATTACACAAATGTAGCTATGATATTTGGTGCATATTATCTTTTCTCTAAATGCATACTGATAATATTTTAATATCGCATTTCAAAAAGTGGTTAAATGAGTTTTCAATGATTAGAAATCTTAATAATATTCTACTGAAATCTTTTTATTATTAAATATCAAAATCAATTTTGAATACTCTAAGTTAAATTGTAGTATTTATACAATTATATATCTAGGTGATACTCTTCTAATAAAAACAATACTTGTTTCACTGTTCGTTATATTTACACGATTTGTTTTGATTTTAGAAGACATATTATGATGATCTACTCTTTGTTTCATGTTATGTATCTGATAAAAAAGAATTTATATATATTTTCAGATATGACATTTTCTTTTTGATTTGCTAGTAATGATAACTGTGTAAGTTTTAGCAATATTTCAAATTTGATGTTTAGATCGAATAATATTTTCTCCAAATCAAAAGTATAAGAGTCACAGAATGTTAGCATGGTTAGTGGTTCCACTAAAGAGAGAAGGTTCCGATTTGATTAAAAGCTTGTGAGTCTATATTGCGCCCAGCTGTAAGGGATTGATAATCGAGAAGACTTTCTAAATGATTCGTAATGACGTTAAGATTTGGCTGAGATATTGATGCTTTAGTGAATTTTCTTTGTATGCACCCAAATTTTTAGATAAAATCGTATTGTCAAATGTTGACCTGAAAACTTTGCCCAGATGAAAGTCTCCGTAAGACTAGCTTATGTATGAAATTTTAGAAGTTCTTCATTGAGTGTCTCTGAATATGCATCTTCCAAAATATACATGTTTTATACGATATGAATGGAAAACCATCTGAAGTCTGAAAAATGCATATCTCAGAGACATTCAATCGAAAATCTCTGAAATTTTGTGTATAAGCTAATATCACTGAGATTTTCATCGGAACAAATTTTTCGGATCAAAATTTGACAATAGGATTTTATCGAAAAATTGAGTCCATACAAAGAAAATTCACTAAAAAAAGTCAGTATCTCGGTCAATTCTTAACATCTGCTCGAACCCTTTGGAGCTTGTTCTAATATATAGGTCTTCCTTGACTGGGCCGAAGATGAATTCAAAAGCTTTTAATCATATTGGGACTTCCTCTCGTAAGTCTAACAATGAAGCCTCTGTTTATTATTCATATTTGATACTAATTTATTTCTCAATGCTAAAGTCAACAGTTTTTCTATTAATGTATTTCATGTCCAATAAAAATGACATATATTTATTGATCATCACTGTAATTTTAAATCATTTCATGATGTTTTTCAAGCATTCTTCCATATATACAGAAGTAATTGATTATTGATCAAAATAGATTTTCAACAATGTTTAATTCAGAAAAAGTGAATCGAAATAAAAGCAATAAAAGTGAATTATTTCAGATGATCAAGATAATGATTTAGAAGAATTATAAAATAATTTAAAATTTGTATCGAGCCTGGATGAAAACATCAGAGAAACTATTATCAAAATCTATCCCGACTTGCTACAATCTAGCAGAGTTGATTTCATCTTTATATACATATCTAAATGATATCAAATTTTGATGTTTATATAGCTTATTCAGTGAATTATTTAATATTATCACATCTGATCCATACAGTGAATTTCATCTCTATTGTATCTATTCACTCATCTAATGCAATTGTCATTTTCTGTTTCATATATCTATGTTATGAATTAGTTTTAATCTTTGTGCAAAATGAAATACAACTTGCGTAAAGAACTTTAGGATTTTTTGCTATGAGACGTTCAATTTAAAATACAAATAAAATATAAATTAAGCAAATTTTTTTTTATCGATTCTTTACATACTAATTCTAATCGTTTAGCATAAGTCCATCGAGATTCTTGAACTGTTGATAAAATAGTACATAATACATTTCCATTTCCTAGTCCGAGTGAAGTCGATGGATCTGTTGTTTCATGATTGATAAGTAAATCAACTAAACGTTCATTTCCAAGAGTGATAGCGAGTGAAGGTAATGTTCGACCATTACATACAGCATTTGGATTAGCATGATGTTCAAGAAGTAGACGAACTAGAGATAATGTATCTTCTGTTGCTTCACGTGTACATA